AGTACGATTCAAGTTTCGCGTCCGACAAAAAGTTCTTTGGCGAAACTTTTTTGCATCTCGCGAGACGACGTCACGTCAGTGCGTATTAAAATATCTTGGCGCCACTCCATTTTAATAACAAGCATTGGAAATAATTAATTAGTTGTTTTCTGAAACGAAAATATCCGCTCGAGCGCCCGAACCGGTCCGCGCTGGTCCCCAGCCGCGCAGCCACGAGATTCGTGCAATCTGTCAATTGGATCGAGTCAACAATGAAGAAGAAGTGTGAGTTGAGTTATGCAAGCGGTGCAGACCCACAATCAGGAGGTGCGAATCGAACGTTATCATTAGCAGCGCTCGGCGTGCACGTCTCGTGACCACGCTCGCGCCACGCTGATTCCACGTGTGCCGCTCTACTTTGACTTTGCACACCCACCTCTATACAGCTCCGTGTCTGACGAGGTGCCATTTTTAAATGCGCCCGCGTGTGCGTATTTCCATCCCGTCCTTGACGCTGGCAAGTGCAAATCCTGGCAAAATTAGTAGCCACTCGAGACCGGACCAAAAGCGATTGTCATCTTCCCAAAGCTCTGCGTAAGATGAATAGGCGTCGCGACTCGATTTCTTCACAGGCGCTAATCAAACTGCCTTGCAGCAAACAAGCGGGTTTTTTTATTTGTGTTTGCCCGTTCCGCCGAGAGTATCTTGACGGATCTGCATTAATTATGTAAATCGTACTAATGCAGGGGAGAAATCGATTGACCTTTTGCTCTGTGTCGAGTAAACATAGTATTTTCCATATTTGCCATGGAATACAGAAGGAAAAAATTTGAAAATGAGTGAAAAAAAACTGTTTTCAAATCTTTAAAAAGAAAAAAATACATATTAAAAAAAAATCAATTGCTATAATTTGCATTTTATCTCTCTATAAAATATTGCAAAAATTCATTCAACTACATTAGGATTTTCAATTTTTTGTTCTAAAAATCTATGAAGAAATTTTAATGTTTCTAGCTTGACATTAAAAAAATTATAACACATAATAAATTTGATAAAAAAATTTACAACATGTAAACATAAAATTATTTAAATTATTTCTTTGCGCAAATTTTTATTGGCTGCAGATAATGTCATAAATATTAAAATAAACTAGAAATGAAATACGAGGTTACAGTGGATATTATTTTATTATTTCATGTTCTATTAAATATGTTAATAAAAAGTAAACAAATTTTTATCATCTTTTTTTTTAAATGAAGATAAAAAAATTATGCAACGAATCCGGAAATTCTACTTTCCGCACCTGTTATCTGCGTTTACTTTTACAATTTGTATCTTTAGAACTGGTCAAACATTGGCTCCTGATATAGCGTGGCGTGCTAATGTTGATGTTTAACTTTATAATTTAGGATGCGAGACATCCAGGCAGTGGTCGACCTTCAGTTTCAGTCGCGTTTTGCGGTTCAATGGCGTAGCCCAAAGCACTGACTAATGAGAGAGGTGAAGCTTTTTACCAGACGGTTTTTTCCTACAATGATAAGCGCATTCGTAGAAAGAAAAAATAACAAACGACCTCGACGAGAGAGAGAGACGCATCTTGTGCGGCGAAATTAATGGACTCGGCAAATTGTGACAAATTCGATCAAGTTGAAAAGTGAGTAAAGGCGTTGATTTACGTCTCGGGCGGATTAACCGACACCCTGCTCATTTTTTACCCCAAAAATAATGAAGGGAACGAATGCTCGGCCAATATTAAGAGGCATTACGTGATCTGATGTGATATGAAGGGCTTATTTCATATTAACGCGAGGAGCTCCTCCTGGGAAATGCTGCTGAAAGCGGGCGGCCCGGTTGCATAAAGTCGCTGCGCGTTTCCAAGCCGGAGCAGCACTCGACGTAGACCCCTGGCAGAAAGTGTGCGAAGTGGACGAAATCGCTGCTCCTGCCCCGATAATTGCATCATTCCTGCCAGAGAGCTTTACCGTGTTTCGCTTCTCCTTACTTAGGTAATGTGCTGTGTATAAATTTAAAACGCGGCGTTATATTATTTGATAGCGTACCTGGCGCTGCGCGAGTTAATTATTTTCTCCAGAAAGGACCCCCGCCGACCTGATAAAACGAAACTTGGCGCAAAAGTTGCCGGCGAAATTTGATTATCTTAATCGTGCAAGTTTTATTAATTCTGAAAGGAAAGTTTCTCCAGACATTATACGATTTCGTCCCCGAGGTTATTTGCCCCGCGAATTACTTCCAAGTTTGCGTCGGAAATTTCTGGCTTTCGTGACTTATGACTCGGCAAAGTTGCGTCAGTCAACAAGCGTATAATTTATATTTTTTTCCTGCCACATTAATCTAAAGATAAAATCTACAGAGAAACAAAAAGCTAGTGTGTGCGTACGTGCGAATATCCGCATAGTAATTGCTCTATTTAACGCGATACGGCTTCTCTAGCTGCGAATCGGATCGGTCACGAATTTGGCGGGCGAATCAATAACAGCGGGTCACTCCTGAAACTTTGATGCACGAAACCAAAATAGGCGCAAGAAGTGAATACGTGACCTCTCCCATGCATGGACTCTCGCGTGCTGAGATTCTAGGGGGTTAATTAAAATTTAATCATTCAAAACTCACTGGTTCTTGAAAACGACAGCTGCCGCGCCGAGATTAACCGAGCGTTTGATAATACGAAAGAGCCTGTCCTTTATTAATTAAGAAAGGGCGTGGAAGAATCGGGGAGGAAAATTGAGAAAGTTGGAGATGGTTTCCGGCAGGACCATTCACACGAGCGAATTTTCGGCCGTTGTTGGCTGGCATTGAACTTGCGTAATATTTAAAGCACCCCGCCGTCCGAGTAGCAAAATTCTTGGCAGCCGCGACCACCAAGTTAAGGAGGCGAAAAACAGCACGTGCGTTTGTGGATTATCAGAAAGGGACGAAAAAAGAGGCGTCGGATAAATGGCAAAAAATGGTGCGGTGAAAGATGAACTCTCGAAAGTCTCAAAGGCAATTTTTTACTCTACAAAAGTTCATCTGAAAATGTAGAGAAAACAAACCTTTTCATTCCTACAAAATAATAATAACGAAAAAAAATTTGTTTCAATTTTTCCTAAAAATGTTCAATAATCATTAAAATTAAACAATGCCAGCTTAACGGTTATTCTTGTAATTGCTGCTGAAAGAAGAAATATAAACATATTCTTATTTTTTTTTTAATACAAATTTTAATAAATCTAACTTAAGTAAACATTTCTTTAATTGAAACTTTTTTAAATAACTTCAATTTGAATTTTTATTTTCATTGAAACCGAAAATTCATAAAAAAAAATGTAACTTGGGCAAATATTATTGCAAACATTTAAAGTCATCTGCCTGCAGCCTTGACCCTACCCATCGTGGTTGGTTATCGCGGTTAAGTGCGTTATTTGCAGCGAAAACGCGCGATTAAAGTGCGCGTCGGGGCTTATCGAGCGCATGGTGGGCGAACCACGAAAAGTCTGGCCGCTGCTTCTTTCGCTGCTCTCCGCTCTCGTGCCTCTTCTGTCACACTACAGCCGGCTATTTTTGTAATCAAATCACCTGATGGTGGTGGCCTCGTGGCAAATTAAATCGGAGCCAATGAAGCCGATGCATCCTGGCTGGCAACTTTCTATATTTGTGCGTGAAAAAGTAGAAAAGAAACAATGGCCGCTCACGCTTCTTCTTCTCTTCTTTCGCCGCTCTCTCTGGGGATTCGCTAACTAAGCCAATTTGTCAAACGTCTTTTTACCCGCGCCGCTCGCAGAGAAAATAATTTTGTTAATAATTTCGGCGCCTCTGTTTGCTTCCTTCGAGTCACGTGATAAGTTATTTCTTATCAGAAGCTTTTAAGAGGAGGCGAGCGAGCGAGCGCGACATCTTCAGAGTGCGATCGATTTTTTATCCGCTATTTCGGGAGCGATGAAAAAATTCGCCTGGCAATTAAGCGAATAAAATTTTTTACGTGTTCGTAACGCGTGGCCATTTATTTCCAATTACTAGCCATAAATTCAAAGCGATACACGACGTAGTAAAAAAAACAAAAACAGAAGGGCTGAAAATCGAAAAGCGTTTCGAATGAAATATAAATGAAATGTGAAATGTGGCTACAGAGTTTGACGTTTTTGACGCAGGTGTTTGTTGCTTTGACCTTTGAATTTAATATTTATGAAAAAGAAATTGGATCAGGCTTTTATTGATTTCCAAATTTATCGATTTTTAGAAGGACCCAGATTATTTAGGCAGACCGTTGTGCACTGCCGCCCAGCTGGTTGCATACATTTTAATTAACAATATTATTTTTTGTCAAAAAGTGGCTCTTTTATGAATTTGAAATAAGCAATAATTTTAAAAGTCTTTTCTCTGCTTTTTTTCTTTTTCCACAAGGGTAGCAAGAGAGACAAAAATGTCAACTTGAAAAGATAGCAGGCACTGTTTTAAATGAGAAAAATACTTTCTTCTTGCCATTTTTCTTTTTCTCCGCGGACGGAATTCCTTGGAGACACTCGCGCGAGTTACATAAAACGATAGAGATCGGGCGTTTACTGCGTGCAAGATAAGAAACGTGACCTTAGCGAGCAGGCAGATTACGATTTGGTCGTCGGTCCGTACTACTATTACGTCTCCGGCGTCAGCAGTCGACGGAGCAGTTGTCCATTCAGTCAGTCATTTCGCGGCGATTAACAAAAAGTAAAAGAACCGGTCGGTCAGTGCGCGCGGCGGCGGCGGCTTTTTCCATTTTAATGCCTTTTAAAGTTACGCGAGCTAGTCGAACGGACGAACATGAGTCGCGCAGGTGGCAGAGGGTGTGCTACTCTTTGTAGGTTCAGGTTTGTCGCCGTCACCTGACACCAGAACCAGGTACGTAGTCTGTCTGCGTGTTCCACCCCGAAGCACATCCTCTGCTGCCCCTTTTTCTTTCTCTGTCCCGAAAAACGCGAGCGTCTGTCTCTCCGTCTGCAGATTGCGCTCCGATCTGCATGTCGTTTTTTCTCTGTTTGCCGCAGCGGAGTCGAGGCTGGTGATGAGGTGTGCTCCGTCAACCAGTTGACCGCCGTGAAGGACGACGAGCCACCCCCGCTGCTGCCCCCGGCCGCCCCCGCTGCAGTCGAGAGCAAGCCCAAACAGCCACCGTCGCCGACGAGGTCCGTGGCCGCGCCGCCACCCCTGCCCTACCCGCTGCCGCAACCGGCCACGTCCAAAATCTTTATGCCCCGGACGGAAGATATGAGCAAAGGATTCCTCACTTTCTCTGACGATGAACCAGGCCTCACGTGTAAGTCTCAAATTAAATATTAAAATTGTTCCCGAAAAGATAAACTTTAAAGTTGCAGACAGAAAGATTTAGACAGTTTTAAATTTCCTTTTAAACATAATTATTCAAAATATACTAAATTAAAACTCTTGGAAGAGTTTGATCAGAGGATAATATTTTATTTAATTATTTAAATTAAAAATAAGAAAACTAAAATGTTTATAAATATTTTTCAATAATTGTTGTAAAAAAATTAATTTATGATATTTGTATTCTTACATTTAATAAGGATGTACAAATTAAACTAGTAAATGATATAAAAAAATTAGTAAGTGCATGAAAAGAAAAGGCTAAAGATTAAAAATAACCACTGCAAGTAATGAAATCGATTTCCAATTGAAGAAAATTATAATACGCAGCTCTCTAATAGAAGCTCTCTTTTTTTATTTAATATAGTAAAAATGCAAATTAAATACACTCTAGATCAATCACTTGTAGTATATAAAGTAAAATATGCGCGGTAACCTACATAATTATTTCAAATCAAAAGCTGCTTTTCAAACTCCATCACAAAGTAGTTGGACGGCAATTAAGGGTTGCCTTGACCTTTTCCACTTCCCTCCGGCCGTTGAAAAGTTCAGGGTCGTAGCAAATTTTCCTCTCAACCCACATTCAAATATTCCGTCGCAGAGTTTTGTCATCCTGCCTTTTTCCAGCGAAGCTCCTAAAGCGCTTCTTGCACCCCAAGGCGGTAACAAGGCCGCGGATTAATCGAACCGATCGAAAAGAGTAAAGAAGAGGCTTCTTTCTCTACTTGCAACTCTCTGTAATCCCGGCTGAATTTGAGGCTAAATCGAGATTTCCCGCCTTTTCTTTTTCCAATCACATTTGCCGAGAGGGTAACCCTTTCTTAAAAAAGTTTCTTTTCCACCCTCGGGCACTGTCATAAATAAAATATAAATCGTGCAGACCACTTCTTGGCAAACAACAACTATGCACATAAATTTTCTTTTCGAAATAACACCCGTCTGTGTGTTTTGTTTCTTGCAGTGCTCAAAGAAGAGCCCGAGGATCTCACCCATTTGGCCCCGATGGCCGGTGACGTCGACATCCCCCTGGAGGGGTCTTCATTCCTTGAGGACGACGTCTTCAATGAGTTCATGATGGCCAATTACTGCCCGTTGGACCTGATGCCGGCCGAAGATGACGCCGATTCCGCGTCAGGATCCAACTGCAGCCCCCACGACCCCTTCCTCACCTACCGTTCAGACAGCAGCAATCATTCATCGTCTGACCACAAACTGGATTCGCCCTTACCGGTATAACTGAAATTTAATAATGAATATCTATTTAAAATAAAAAAAAGTTTCAATAAATCACTAAAAAATATTTATTGCAATTTGTATTATCAATCTTTTTTTAGACCCTTTTTTAATTACAAATTTATTATTCAATTCTCATTCCTAATCTTTTATTTGTAATTTCAGAATTCAGACAGGGATAGTTTGCCCTCGTTATGCAGTCCGGACTCGGACTCAAACAAGCTGCTAGAAGATGACGACGAGTTGACTTTCCGCGCTCCTTATATTCCAATGGGCAGGGAGGACACGGAACTTCCATTCCTCATCTCGCCAGATCCAATTTGGTGCGCGCTGTCCCCGTCGGACAGGCCGCCGGACGCCTCAAAGTCGATGCAATTATCTCCCGGCCCATCCGAAAGCAGTTCCAAGAGCTGCTGGTGAGTTCGCAGCCGCGCGCAAAGAGAGAAACAAAGTTTTTTAATCAATCGTTTCACTTTTGCCAACAGGAGCGCGCAAAACAGCCCGCCGAGTCTAAACTCGAACCTGGCACAGTTGCTGCTCGGCGACGGGGTGAAGGCCGAGTCGCCCACCCCCATGCTCCAAGAGGAGGATAAACTTTCGGCTACTCTGATGTCCCAATTGTTGCAAAAAGTGAAAATTCCCAATCAGGGTATGTTTAACTTATAACATTAATTTCATTAAAAGGGGAAAAATTAACATCTCAAATTGAATTTAATGGGCAATATTGAACTTGAATTTATTTGATATCATTTGAAATTGTATTTGTTTTCAATTATCTTTAATTAAATTAATTTTTTAAATTCTTTAGCATATTAAATATTTAAACATATTATTTTATATTTTATCTCCATTCATTTTGTAAACAAATTGAATTTCTAAGCTTTTTTGAAGCTCTTCTTTAATACTTGTCAGTTTAGTAACATTCAATCACACCAGATAATCCATGTGGAAATCTGTCTGCCCACAAATGGTTTCCACTTGATGTTCAATCAAGCCTTTCCATGCCTCGTTTATCTCGAATTGGAAACCCCTAACTTCAATTTCTTCTTATCTTAATTGCTCAAGTTCCTTTCCACATGAAAGTTGTTGACACACTCATACATCAACTTGTTTGTGCCTCTGATCCGCAGGAGTCCGAATATCGTGCCCGTCAACCCCGCAGAAATCAAAACGCCAAGCACAAGATTTTCTGTCCGCGGAAGAGCCGAAAAGGGCCAAGCACTCTTCAGAGCTGCTGCAGCGCCTGATGGCGCCCAAGCCGGCGAACAGTTGGGCGGACGAGAAAATGAACAAGAGCAGCGTCCTGATGAATCTGCTGGTTAGTGGGTGTGACGTTAATGCGGGCTACGTCTGTATTCCGATCAACCGGGTGGGCAAAAGTTGCAATTCGGCGGGCAAACGACAAAAGGTATCTGCGTAATCAGACTCTGAACTTGTGCATTTCTTTTCTTTGCCGGAGAAGTAACATCAGACGCAGCAGCGAGCGAGCGACACGGAGCTCACTTTGAGAGAGTCTTATGTAAAATTTACTTAAAAGCGGATGCAACGAAGAAACGCATTTTTGTAACTCCCGAGTGAGCCAACTCCAGACATTTTGGCGTCGAAGAATAAAAATAAAAGCAGTCAGAGAGAGAAAGAAAATGAGAGAGAGGTTGTTCAGCCTATAATGGGAGAGGAAGACGAGAAAAGTTAAAAGTAGTAGCATTGTTAGTTGATCGAAAGTTACATAATTGAAAAAATATGCAATAATATTCAAACGATTAAAAGTCACAAGTGAATGAAAAGATTGATGTTGTACCTTGGAAAATCAAAATACGTTCAAAGTACTGTAAGGTTGTTAAGTTTGCAGAGAATATCATCTCGGAGGAGAAAAATATTTTACTGAAACACTCGATTAACGGCAGATGTTTTTTGAAAAATATGCCAAAAATATTATATTATGGATTATACAAACGGCGAATATTGATACAAAAATAAAGAGCAAAACCTGGTGGTGACACACCCGCTTGGGCAAATTGACATTATATGCGTCATCAGTTTTAAATCTCGTAACCACACACTGGATTTTAATTCGATGCTGGGGATAAAGTTTACTATGGATGGTGATATGAACAATATTATTTTTCAAATAAATTGTTGAACGTCACTGTGCATTATTAACCACAAACAAACACACCTGCATCTACTTGCATGAAATTAGAGCAGCCGAATGAAAAAAAGAGAATGCATTCATTTCAATGTAGGCCTTCCTTGTTGAATCAATAAACAGGGGAAGCCGTAAGTAGAAATTAGTTGGCCTGGTAAGTTGGAAGAACCTGTCAAACGAATTTATTTTCTTTCATTTTGAGTTTCTGTCCCTGCCGAGCTAATTCACTTTCAATACCAGCCAAATTAGGCTACACTCGGCAGCACAGTTTCGTCGCATCGATCGTTCGCCGTTTGCGGATAGAGGCAGCGCAGCCAACGGGTCCTGCGAGAGATCCCTGATTTATGACGCCGAGCAGCCCCCTCACTTAAATTACCACATCTGCACAGCAATAGTACATGTTATAAAGAGATATATAACGAAAATAGCGATCAACGAGAGTAGTGAGTAAAATTGCAAGATCAGTCTGTCGAGTCACGTGACAGAGAGGAAAGATCGAGAGACCTGGCACCGGGCCAACTCGCAATGACAATGGCCTGGCGAATTATGCAAATTATTATTACATAAAATAATAGTAACACCAAGGTTATCTCCCTGTGTTTTCTGCCCCCACCAACGCCAAATTGAGAGAGAGACCGCTCGAGAGGCTCTGCTTTTTTACAACTCGGAGAACAATGGATTTTTTTTATTCACTCCGGGCCAACTTTTTTATCCCTGTGCCAATGAAAGGTGTCGGTTGATTTTTTTTTTTAAATTTTAGTACTCAGGTGTGGTTTTTAAACAGTCGTAAATTTTGTTTATTTAAAACGTATCCATTCACGTGCAAATATTTGTTTAGAAATTTGAAGTTTATTTTTTTATTTCTTTTCGGCAAACATCTCTTCTCTCTTCAAGGGTTGTCGCTTCTTTAGGAGTTTTTGCTGATTGCGAGCGCGTTGATTTTGATGAAGAAAGAATCAAGATGCTCTTTGACGCGTTAATTTTGGATTGTGGCTCCACTCTTACCTAACGAATGCCGTGGGTTGACGAAGCCAATCAAATGCGTAATTGGCACAACTCTTTCCGAATCGCAACTTTTCCCACGTTCGGCCATATAAAATCGATAATGTGTACCACCTATTTATATCAGACCATGTTTCCTAGCTGATATATTATTTAATAATCAATTAAAGACTAAATAAATATTATTAATTAAGCTTTAAAGCATAAAATTTCAAAACAAACATTTAATTTTGAAGTCATCGAAATAAAATATACTTAAAAATTAAATAACGTAGAAAATTTGGGTTTTAATTTTTTTCGGAATACAGATGTGGACTAAAAAATGGTTTTATTTCTTTTCCTAATTCATTAATTCCAAACTAATGAAATTTATAATTTTGCAGGACGACCAACCGCCCCCGCTAGAAGATGTAGGCTACATGGATGTGGACAAGGGGTTGCCGCCGCTGGACGTGCCGCCCCCGATGTTGGCCAGAACCTCCCCGGACCTGATGCTGTCGGACGTGGAGGCCGTGTTGCGCTACCTGAACGCAGAATAGCCCCCGTGTGAGCAGCATGGCGACGCGGCGGCTGAGTAGGGGGTCGAAGGGTTGTTCTCTGCCCGAAAACGGTGGCCGTCGCACCTGGGATCTACACTCGCCTGAAAGGGGCAGACCGATCACGGTAGAGACACCCTGACCACCCCTCTACTCAGAATCTCGCGTGCATTTTTGTCTTTTACAACAACCATCGCTGATACAATAATCAAAAGTAGCTCGCCATGCTGCAAAAACCCTTTCGCCCTTCTTCGATTGGAAAATTGAAATTGTTTTCAAAACCAGTTTATTCTTAATTTTGTAATTTTTCGGTCTGGAAATTGAAGCCATTTTTTTTTTACGTTTCTTTTCTGGCGCAACAATTTTGTTGTGGATCTTGGTGATGTTTTATTTGTTTTCGTCTTTACAAGATAAATGGTTCAAATTATTAATGTTTAAGTTTCATCAAATTCAAATGAGTTTTTCTTGGAATTTTTCTAAATATTTAGTGTCAAAACGATCGAGATGTAGTGCACCCTTGAGGAAAATAGAAACAGTGTCTGGTGCACGTTGCATTGTGTAATGGAAATGAATATAGGAAAGATTTACTGCCATCGAGGTGCACTAATTCATACACTTGAGTATGTTAATCCATAGTTGATCTATGTTTGACATGCATCTGATAATAATGGAGAGGAGATTTACAAACACACACACAGTGGCTAAACGAATTAGTGCTCATCTTTGTATTAATATTTAGAAGTGGATGAAGTTGTAATTGATAGTGACCCCAGTTGTAGCTCACGTAAAATTTAAAAATTAGTTCTTACCAGTTTTTACTCTTTTCTGTTCAACACTAATATTGTTCTTTGGGATTTTGGAGATTTGACTTTCAATAGCAAAAATGATACTGAGGTAGCTCTTGGTAATGATTGATAAAAAGTACAACACTTAAAATTAGTTAGAAAATGCAAACGTCAAGTAATTTCACGAGAAACCCCGACTACTAAATTTAAATAAAAAGGAAGGTGGATTTTGAAAGGCTGCCTGGACTGATTCAGGTTGAGTATCGAACGGATAATATGCAAAAGCTTGTGATGGAGAAAAAGATTGAATTGGCAAAAATACCCTTAGAGCTTACTGACTTGCACATTATATACCTTTGCGTGAGCATCTTTTTGAGATAACATGCTGGTTTTGCTTTCGTCCATAAATAATGGGATGATGAACAATATTTTTAATAACACTTACTATTTTCTTCTCATGTCAGAAAATTTATTATTTTATTAAAACTAACCCTAATTTCAAAGAATTGATCAGATGTGAATTTATATCAAAGAGGTCTACTGAAGTGACCTGATAATTTCAAACAGTTATTATAATAAAATGGCTATGTTCGTTTTTTCATTGATTCACTCTATCATTTTTTTTAATTAGCAGTAAGAAACTTTGCTATTAGTTAAGGATCGACACTCAAAACACATTCGATGTTGATGAAAAATTGTAATGGATTATAAAAGATATCTTAAAAGCTTCATTTCATTTTTTTTTTTGCAAATTCCTCTGCGAGAGGTGCAAATGATATTTTAATAGAGAAAAGTAGAGGGAAATGCAGCAGGTGAACAGTTTCTTGTTCAGTGCACAAGTAGGTGCATTTTATTTTTCGCTAAGGAAACTATCTGTAATAGTGGGAGCAAATAACTAAATGTGCAGATTAAAACTGGATTAACAACAACCACTGCTAAGCAATTAAAATTCTTTGGCTTCCCTCTCTGTTCAAAATTATTAACAATCTTCGATTTTATTTTTTAATAAGTTTATCCTCTATGCTGACCTTCGGTTTGTGTGGTGTTCCAATTATATCTAAAATAGCATAGCCCTCATCTGTAATTGTCGTTATGCATACATCTATTTTATCCTGTATACACATATATGGTTTATTTCAAATAAAGGATACTGTTGCAAAATAACCTGGTTGTAATTTAATGCAAACACCATTAACTTGAATATTCTAAATTTGGTCTCACGATCAAAGGACGAAACACGAATAATAAAACAGTCCGAGTTACAACCTTTGATTTTTATTTTATTTTTGCGAGTTCTCTGACATCAACTTAGATTTTCCTGCAAAATTACTAGGCAGCTCGAAAATACCCAATAACTTGAGGACAGGGAAAGGCGACAAATGAATGCAGCTTTAACAACCTTGTGTGTCACAACAAATAAATCAATCGTCTGCAATCCAGACTTTGGTGAAATTAGGAAGCAATTGTTAACATTGCCGATTTTTAGCCTCTTTTCAAAGTTCAAGCTTGTGTGAGACTAGAGAGGGAAGATTAAAGAACAGGACGTGTGAGATAGCGTTGCAGTAGGGAAATCAATTTGTCGGCAATTGATTTTTGTATCCAAAATCTGTAGCAACTGCTGGTAGGAGAAAAACAGGGCAAAAACTTGTCCAAAAATAGTGGTGCCTCTTGAGATGTGTTTAGAATAACTTAATTATACTCTCTCGTCCTTTGCCCACTCCGATGTATTGAACTGAAATAGAATTGCCAAATTAGGGTCGGATTCCCGATAAATTGGATTTAAATATACCTGGTACGCCGATGAGCTCCTGGATCAGCGTGACGTACCGTTGTGCATTTTCTGGCAGATCGTTGAAGGTTCTGACGTTCTGGATGCTGCACTCCCATCCAGGCAGAGTCTCGTATTCAACCTGACAAAATTATTAATGAGCTAAATTTATATTTTCTAAATTTGGAAATACTTACGGTGACGGCACCAAGTTCAGCCTGTCCGCTCGGGAAGTGCTTGATCTTCTGACCGTTGAGTGTGTACGCAACTCCAATTTTCACTTCCGTGAAACTGTCCAGCACGTCCAGCTTTGTCAGAGCCAACCTGAAATAATAATGAAAAAAAAATTAATTTTATTTATGTTGAAAATTTCAAACCGATTGTAAAATGTTGACCGGATTTTTTTATAAATTCAAAAAGAAATTTTGTTTAACTTACGAGGTGTAGCCATTGATCATGGTGGTGTACTTCAAAAGCGGGATGTCGAGCCAGCCGCATCGACGCTTCCTCTGAGTCGTCACTCCGATTTCAGCACCAATGCTCTGCAGCTTATCTCCAATATCCTGATGGGAAAGCGTGTCTCATTAGCAGTTCCAATTTAAATTAACCAGATAATTCCTACATTGAGCTGCTCTGTGGGGAAGGGCCCGTCCCCCACGCGGGTTGTGTACGCCTTGACGACGCCCACAATTTCGCCGATGTTTCGAGGAGGCAGACCCAGGCCGGTGCACACGCCGCCAATGCTGCAGTTGCTTGAAGTCACGTACGGATAGGTTCCTGCAATGCCACAAAATTAATAATTTTATTGTCCAGTTGTTGATAAATGAGGATGTTTTTGTTGCATATATTCTATTAGCATTTAATTTAATCTTGAAAGAACTTGACTATTACTTTATTCAAGAATGCACAAATATAATTAGAAATCCAATCAATTTTCCTTTAATAGGAATTTTTTGATGAACGTACCAAAATCAATGTCCAGCATGGTGGCGTTTGCTCCCTCAACCAGGACATTCTTTCCTTCAGCTAAGGCTTCGTGCAAAAAGGAAACTGACTCAACAATCATTGGCCGCACTTTTTCGGCCAGTTCTTTGTATCTCTTCAGCTCGGCCTCAACGTCCACTTGGAGATTAGGAAACATCTTTTCATGCGCAGCCACTAAGGTCTGGAACCTAGATTTAATTTTTATTTACAATCTGCAATTATTACAATCAAATAAAAAAAAGTACTTTTCTGTAAATTGGGAGAAATCTCCGATCAAATCAGCAATGCGGATTCCATTTCTGGAGGCCTTGCACGAGTAGGTTGGACCGATTCCCTTTTTGGTGGTGCCCAAGGACTTCTTGCCCTTCTCCTGCTCCTGCATGCCGTCCACTTGCTGTTGATAATGCCATATTAGCACTAATTAAGAAAATTACTATATCAAATCACCTGGTGGAGATCAAAAACAAGATGAGCCTTGTCTGAGATGAAAAGCTTGTTTTCCCAATCTTTCAAGCCTTTGGCTTCGCACTTTTTCAGCTCTTCATACATTCCTGGCAGATGCACCACAACTCCGTTGCCTGGGAGGAAAATTAATCACATTAATGCATTTTTTTTTTTTAAATTATGATTATTTAATTTACCAATTAGAGACTTGCACTTGGGCTGGATGATACCACTGGGCAGCAGATGGAAATCAAACTCGCAGCCGTCGACGACAACTGTATGCCCTGCATTGTTACCGCCCTAGAACATAGAAATTACAAGATGAAATAATGCTACAAAATAAAATTTGAAAAAATTTAAATGTAAGATTTCTTGTTTTGTTGGGAAATAAAGAAAATAATTACAATTTAGGTTATAAATTTAAGTTGCAGCTCTAAAAAATTATTTTGTATCATGAATATATGATAAATTCAAGACAAAGAGGATACAAATTCATTTCTTTAAGATAATTTAAGTAATTTTATCTGTCATTAAATGATTAAGTCAAGTAGTTTCTCATTTTTCGCTCAGACAGCAATTTTCAACTAATTATGCGTCATTTTCATTGCAAAAAGTGGTTTCGCTGTCGCTTCAAGGCAGTTTGCTTTTCGATCAAATCTGGTCGTTCATCAGACTTTGCTAATTAAGTCGGTGTTGGTCGGAGGAGGGATTGTGACGTGCGCCAATTAGGGATGAGACGCCTCTCGATCGTCGTCAATTCCTTGTAGTATTTATTTTACAATGGGCAGCCTTGGCCGCAATCAAACGCGCGACGCTAATTAATGTTTACTCGCCGGCCGGACAGGCCCGCGCAAGCCACTCACTCGCAACCGAGAATGCATTTTGGTTGGGGCCCCCGTGTGGCAACTTTATCGCCAGTCAGACGACGGCGACAAAGACGTTTGCTTGGGGAAAAGAAGAGATAAGAGGCATTTTGCGGCGCGACCTTGTACGTGCGGTCGAACGGAAGTTTCAACTTTTTGTGACTTCGTTTTTAAAATAAATAAAAGTTAAAACTAACACTGAAATTTCAAACTGTCTTTGTCTCAAATACTTAAAAAAAAAGTAAATCGTATTGAAAAAAAATATTAACTTAATTTCACGGAAAAGGTTTAAATTTTATTAACTTATCTCCAACCTTGCAGGATTTAGCACTCTCATTGCTAATGTTTTTTCTTTTTTTAACTCGCAGTTTCTACATTTATTCAACTTGTTAAGATATTCATAAAATTTATCCTTATTACAGGAAATAATACATTATTTATTTTATTTGTTTGAATAGCTTTCGAGATCTTAAAAATGTTGTCAAAATTTAATAGAGTCAACAGTTTACAATTGCAATTAATCTCTGAGTTTTAAAAATATACAATTTGAAAATTCAGAGCTTAGATAAAAATCATGGTTTCAAAATTATAATTAAAACTGGATTTATTAATAAATTTGTATAAAAAAAATGCATACGTTCTCCACCATAATTATTTTTTTCCCGACCTAATTTAATAGGACATTTTCATGTAAATCTGTAATAATTTCACTATAAATAAAAATTAGTTAGGAAGATTTAATTATTATAACCTAACTAATTCGTAACTAATTTTTATTTATAGTGAAGGCAGGTTGAAAAAAAAATTGTAAAATCAAAGAATTTAAAGTTTATCTGGTTTATATGAATTGAAGTATTAAACAAAAATTAAAACACATATTTTTTTAAATTAAAATCAGCCAGTAAACCTGCTTTTAAAAAAACCTTGAATTTTGAAATGATATTATGCTAATATCCCCAGCTGCCAAAATCGAAAAATTATCCGGATATTACCCTCTCTGGAGAGGATAATATCCGGATAAAAGTCAGTTTTGGCAACTGGGGATGTTACATAAACGTTTATTTTCAAGGTAATTTTCTTTTCTATTCGCTTGCCAAGTATTGAAACTTTGTCGCATTGAGTGCCACTTCGCCCTTCTTAATCCCCTTGCGAGTTGATGCAAAATATTTAACAGGGGTCTCGGTCTCAATCGGACAATGAGTTGGCGTCAAATTGGCTTGTTTTGTTCCCCGAGAGAGCGACCGGACCGGACAGCTGGCGGTGAAAAATTTGCACACGTCGGTGCCAAAAAGCTGCAGCGCCCTACCTGGTGAGGTCTGAGGTGTGATTGATGACGCGACAAGGGCGTCGTTTGTTTGCCTGCCACAGTCGGATGAATTATACAATTCAGCCTCTTTGAGTGGCACGCGTGCAAAAATCAGCCCAGAGTTCATCTCGGGCGGTCACCCATGGAAAGGCACCGCATGAATGGAAACCATCTCTGCTGACGGGCGCTCTATTCTGCTGGCGTGCTGACGACATTGACCCCTGGTCAGACGCAAACATGTGTTTTCACGCAATGAGATATTGTGTTTTGCTAATGGCAGCTAATAAACACTTCTCTTGCATTAATTGTACATCGCTTGACTGTAATTAACAAAGAAAGTTGAGAATGTAAGAAAGAGAATTTAAACAATTTTTGACTAATTTTATTAATATGCTAAATTAATTGATAGAATTTTCGTTGCAAACGAAATTTCAAGGAAAATTAAAGCAGTTAAAAATTAAAAAAAAAAATGTAATTTCTCTGCTCAAAAACATGCCCTTACAAGGCGATATTTAATTCCAATAATATTAAATAATATATTGAAATTTTAATAAAAAAGAGCGAATAAAATTCTTGACAAAATAAGCTAAACATTAACAATCTAATTTTTCAAAGAAAAAAGTTTACAATTAAGAATGAATATTTTCACCCAAGTCAAGTTGTAAATGACAGGGCATATATCTCATTCTGAACAATGCCACATCTTTCTTTTGCTTGATGAGGCAAACAGCTTTGCAATCATAAAACACGCGCGATTTAAAATTCTACAGAGCGCTCGTCCACAACAAAAGGACACGCAAACACGTCGCGTAAATAAATTTATTTTTTCGCAAACACAAGCAAGTAAGCAATAATGATAATAAGGACGACAACAGCGACTTAATTGCGTCAGTCTTTGTGACAAAAGATGGCTGGAGGAAAATAATAAAATACCTGGCGTGTGTTTTAATTAAGTTGGGCTTGATTTACATGCGATTTGTGTGGAGGCAGGTACAGAGGAATTAGGACAGAGATGCCTCGCGCTGGTGCAAACAAACAATAATCCGTCCGTCCTTTGTCAGCCCCACGCGAAATTATCGTTATAAAGTGGGTGATTGTGCTTGGAACGCGAGCAGAAATTATGTGTCGCCACCGCGACCCAATTTCCCGTCGACCTCGAATGGCGGAAAAGTCGATTTTCGTTATTCGACTGCGGGCAGGTTGAAGAAATTTTGGCTCAGGGCAAAAGACCGCTGCAGTTCCACGTTTCTATGCTTTTTCTCATTTTAAAATTTCATTAAAAATAAAAGTTTGGGGTTGTTCAAAATTGCAATTAAATTCTCCTTCAAATTATTGGTTTATCTTGAACGTATTAGTTAAAGTCTCTTTTAAATTATTTTACATTCCAAAACCAATGGTCACAGAGTTGGAATTGATTAATTTTATTTCAAAATAAATTGAATGCAATAAATGAAACCTGAGTGAAATATAGATTTTATAATGCAGTGAATAAATCAAATTAAATCTGTGTTCGCGAGTGTGAATAGGAGGAAAATAAATTAAATTTCGCATAATTCAATATTAGCATTATTTATATCAGAGCCTTCGAAGGCTGTAATTTTTTCACACTTTCATAGGGAACAAATTGTTCTCCGATTAAAAATCCAGAAGATTGAGCACTATTTTTTCTTATTCCGATGAATGAGTTTCGGCGATTGTTTGTTTATCAGCTGCGAATGAATCAGCCGAGACAACAGAGAGATCTCTAATTTTAGCCTCCGGCCGCCCTCCCGCCCGCGCCATGGATATGGCGAGCAACGAAAGTGGAGCGTTATTTTGACACGGCGGCGCACCTCCCTCATTATCTGCATGTTCGAAAATTTAATCAGTCATGTGCTTTCGTCCGGCGGTCGGTCAGTAAGTCGGCACTCGTCGGTTGAGAGCTTTTTGGCAGCAACCCTTTCCACCTCTAAATTTAAAAGCATGCTGGACTTCTTCTGACGCGCGATTTTTTTTTACGACGATCGATGCCCAAATTATTTTTGCGCTTTTAGAAATTTCAGAGGGCCTTTGCTGAAAAAGTGACCAAACTTTCATAACCTGTAAATTATACAAAATTTTAAATAATGAAGTAAAAAATTCCCAGAAAATAATCTCTTTTGAATTTTTTACTTGCTTGCCGAGAAATTCTAAAATTATGAATATGGATAGCAAAAATCAAATTATGAAATTTTTTAAATTTTTTCTTATTTCACTTATTGGAAAGTTAAATCTCTCTCCTTTCTGAATATATGAAATTCCACACTATTATGTTCAGGAAATAAATTAGGCTAAAATTTTAATCTCTTCTTCCTTTTTCAAAGTGTTGGATTGCAGGTTATCTCGTTTCAATGCATGCTAAAGTCTGATTTTGGTACCGCACCACTTTTGCCTGAACAAATTACAGAACCCTATCTCTGCTGAAACTGCGAAAATTGTTTGCTTTTGGTTTGAGAATTACGTCATGCAGATAAAAATTCTATCCGGTGTATTTTGATCTTCTTACTGGCTACCATGACTCATTTTTTTTATGTAAATGAGCAGAATGAGTTTTTTTTACTATTTTCCTTATACAATTTTTTACAAAGGAAACTTTTTGTAACATAAATGAATTAAAATATTCAAACCACCAAATAAATAGAACAAATATTTTCTTAAATTGATTTTTAAATTGCCTATCTTTTGTTTATAAATTAAATAAAATATCCTTTGATGCAGAGATAAATAAATACAAACAAATAAAAACAAATTGCCATGGTCATTCAAAGCTCTTTTAAATATTTAACATTAAACATGAACAAATAAATTATTTCTCGAGAGAGCAAATAATCCAGATGGGCTGTTTTACTTTGAATGAGGTTACGATCTGCAGTTGTTTCGCAATTTCCTACGTGTTTACTAATTGTATAAAAGCATCCAGTACAGAAGACTTCAAGCTGGGAGTTTTCCATCCAACGCAGGTTCAAACATTGCGGAAAATAAACAAAGAACGCGCCAGAATTATGGCAGAGGCGCTAAAAACTTAAAAAGTCAAACGAGATCTTGGCGAGAAAAATATATCCTTCAAATAATTTGGCACTTTTCCAAAATTAACACAGTAGCAGTTTTTTATTGTGATTTTTGTTCACCCTCTTTTTTGGCAACAAAATTATTTAAAAAAAGCCTTTTTTTAAAACTTAATGGTTTTCAATTTGTTAAAAAAAGATTGTGATTTAAATTTAACAATTTATATTTATGTACTTGCAACTCATCAATGAAATTGAGGAAAAAAATGACTAATTTTGAAATATGGGAAAGATCAAGGCACAATTATTTCACTCATTTTATGGAGGAAAAGTTCAAAGCGATCTTTGCCCAACAAACAAATCGTAAACGGTGTCACAATTAAATGGAAATTCCATTCAAGTGCTGTAAAATTTGCCGCGAGCTGTTCGCCAAGAATAACAATAATAAGAGCAGGCCAGCCGCGCTAATTACTCAAGAACAATGCCCCTGAGCTCCTTCACCAATTCATTACTTCGATTTTCCGTTGACCCTCACGAGAAATTCACGCGAGTTACAAAACCGAAGAGCATCTGTCTGTTTCCCTCACACGGAGGTTCGTCGAAGCAGCTGCGAATGGCAATAATGTATTAATTTCTTCCAGCTGACGCAACATCCCGGCCAAAAGGCAGACAACCCTCTCGGTTAAGATCATGAGGGTCAAAATTCTTAGATGACGAAAACATTTTATCCTCGCTTTGAAAAATAAATAATTCATCCATATCATTATCAAAGTTGAGAGATGCAATAAAATAAAAAATTGACATTGACATTTGAATCTACAACGAATGGTTAAATTAAATGATGTAAAAAATTGTGAAACTTCAGCATTCAAATTTCGTTAATTGTTGCAAATTTCAAATCTTTAAAAAAATTATTGTATAAAATTTGACGAACAACATAAATAATGATTTAATTGTAAATAACAATTTTTGTGCAGCTAATTTTAAGTCATTTTCGAGAATTATAATTAACAAAATAGGAAGAATTATAATCTAGTCATTTTTATAGAGTAATTTTTGGTGTTACATTTATTTCAATAAAATAATATTTTCAAATTTAAAACAAAATTTGCAAAACTTTACTTTTCTGAGACATTAATTTCTAACTACATAGAATAATTTCAAGAATCAAAATCAGTAGAGCTTAAAAAAATTTAAAATACACACTCCTACTAAAAAAAGTCTGCGAATAGTGCGAATGTTCTCATATAACAATTTTTTGACTGTCTTTATTTTGAAAATTTAATTATATTCAAAAAATTTTGTTTAAAAAAGTTATAAGCTCAGCAATTAGCTACGTTATAAAGTAGATTGAAAAATAAATTCAATAATTAATTGTGTTAATTCAAAATTAAAATTATCAAATAAATTTCTTGGTGATTCCAATTTCCACCTAAATTGAGGGTTCTTTCGTAATAATTTTATAGTTTAATTCCGCATGAAAAGAAGATTTAGTTTAATTTTTGCACAATTTCGATTATATAAAAACTACATTTTTTTTTACAAAAAAGTAAGTACGCAGTTAGCAGCAACCATTTCGCTAAATCGTGCCCAAAAAAATTACTTTATGTAATCAAGTTTTTTATTTTGCAAAACTCTCCTTCTCTTAGATATTTGCAAGTCACATTAACCGGAATTGCAAAAAGAGGAATTTATCCCGCGACTGTCGCGAATTCCCGCGCGTTGTTCTACGATGGGGCCGCGGTTTGCCAAAAGACAAACCACAAATTTGTTTTGGGCGAGTTGGGCAAGAAAAGGGACTCACCTGGCAACGGCAGACGACGTCGGCGTCGGCGGCCAGCAGGTCGACCAACTTGCCCTTGCCCTCGTCGCCCCACTGGGCGCCAAGGACGACGGTGGCCTGGCGGACCTCGTGGTTGTGGTGGTTGTTGTGGCCGTTCATCTTTGATTTTCACTCGCCGCAGTTGTTGCAAAAAGCCAAAGATAGTTTGCGAAGGAGGATCTCGAGCTGAAGAGGGATGGGGTGCAGCTTTGGACGAGGATTATCTCCGGGACATGGTGCGGCTGGACAGAGAACTCTTCTTGCTTCAGACAGCCGATTTTGTGGACACGACCGACCCGGCCGAAGGCGAGAGCAGCAGAAAATGTATGTTTTCTGCTCGCTCGTGAAAATAGAAGACGAGGGCCGAGCCGAGGGAAGGGGGTTCAAACGAATGCCGAAAGACGGAAGAGGGGCTGGAGGGGAGGGAGTGATTCGCGCGGCTGCCCGGGAGCTCCGAGGGCGCTCGCGAATGCAGCCGCCGCGAGTGGCGCCAACAGACGGCAAAGAAATCGAAAGTCCTTTTGTATGTGATCAGTGATGAGTATAGGAGATGCGAGATTAAAAATTAATAAAAAAAATTTTCATTTAAAAATATCATCGCCATGGTCAGATTATAAGTGTTAAGATGAAATTAAATTCAACCATTTCCTCTCTCAACTGAATAACTGATGGATAAGAGTATTTTAATATTTAATTAACGAAGTCATTTTTATTAAAAAAAAACCCGTTTTTTTAAACATAACAATCAAAATGATAATGAAATTCCAAATGACCAAAAGATGCTCGTCTGTTGGGTACGGTAGCAAAATTGTTGCATTTTAGGCTGATTGGCGCCTGGAGGTGATTTCTCGTAATATATTAATTTAATAAAAATTTTATGTAGTTTAAATTAATGAAATTAAATAATGCAGCCGTATATTTTGAAATTTCCAGATATTTGCAGAATAGTGTCTAATTTTAGGAGCTTTATTAATTTTCTGCCAATACTTGTATTTGATATTAATTATTAATTAATTAACAATATAAGTTGTTGGAATTGAAAGCGTCGCATTGATAATGTTAAGCACCTTCTTGAATATAATGATAAAAATATAATTTGCAAAATGATATCAATAAATTAGCGCTGCGTTAACAGATTTTCAATGACTGCTGTCTGCCTTTTGTTACAAGAAAATAAGTCGCGAATTGATAAACAGCAAAAAATTATGAATCCTATTAACGCTGTTTGAAATGAACCATTTAATGATAAGTTTAATCAGTTTAAAGGACTTGGGGGAGCAGATAAAAATTCAAATGAGTTCCACGGTACATCAAATGCCTCCAAGGTACAAAGATAATCTCGTATGCAAAAATTATACATATAATTTTCACATTACAGTGTTGCTCTGTGGACGTAACATGCAGCTCCTGTCAGCCTCTGCTCTTCTGAGCATCCTGCTCGTGTCAGGGTACGCCAATCCCTTGCCCCAAAAGGACGACGACCTTTACGCGAAAGCGATTTTGAAGTTGCGAGCTCAAAGTCTGGGCTTGCCGGACAAGCGTGCTGGTAAAAGTAAATGTTTTATTGTTCGCACAAAATATAAATGAATAAATTTCAGGTGAAATTCTTTCAACATGGGACCCGGACTCGGGTGTAAACCCTGAGGAACTCGGACCTTATTTCCAGGGTGACATTCTCACTCTCCCGAGTGATAAAAGTGGAATTATCGACCCCAACTACAGATGGGCCGATGGAGTGATCCCCTATACTATTGTTGACGGAGTTTTCAGTATATATTAATTTTTTTGTCTCATTATTTAAAAAAAATGATATAACAATAATAAAAATTCTTGCAGATGAAACGCAATTGCAGTTTTTGAGTGATGCGTTCGAGGCGTATCGCAATTTTACTTGCATTAAATTTGTACCCTACGATGGCACCCAAACAGATTACATAGTCATCCAAGGCGAGAACACAGGGTGCTGGTCCTCCGTTGGACGAATTGGTGGTGTGCAGTATGTCAATCTGCATCCTCCTGGTTGCATCAGGAAGGTAATGGATTAAAAATTAAAAAAAAACTTTCAGATTTTATTAATATTTTTAAATTGAAAAGGTTGGAACTCCCGAACACGAGTTGCTTCATGCCATTGGCTTCCATCACGAGCAAACTAGAACTGACAGGGACGATTATGTTGCAATTTTGTGGGAGAACATCGACCCTAGTATTATAAAATACTTTTGATGATTTCAATTGTTTTTTACGTTTTTTTTTTCGTAGCAAAATATCACAATTTCGACATGGCAAATGATTCGACTCCATTTGGAATTCCTTACGATTATGGCAGCGTCATGCATTATTCAGCGACGGCCTTTTCCATTAACACCCTTACAACAATCGAAACGAAGGTAAAAGTAGTGCAAAAAATATTCCAATCCAAAATTTTGTGTTGTGCAATGTTTTTATTTAAAAGCAAACAAAAAATTTAATTGAATGAAATTTATAAATTAATTAATAATAATATTAAATTTCAGCCACCCGGTATTCCTATTGGACAAAGAGACGGTTTGAGCCAGTCTGACATTGACAAAGTCAACGCTATGTACAATTGCTTTGCATAGAAATAATTTAAATAAAATTTTCAATGTAATTGAAATAGTGACTCATGATTGAATATTGATTGTTTGTTTTGTATGATATATAAATATAATAAAGCAAAATAAATTTCAACGTTTTATGCTTAAGAATACTAATTTGTAACGTAAAAACAATTTTTTCAAAGGGCACCGCGTGGGTGTCCAAATTGCTTTGCTCTTTCCTTTGCATTCATTTTCAAGTCAGCCAGTCTGTAATAAAATTATATTAATTTCTTCTTCATCATATCAAAACCTAATTTTGTGGATAAAATAAATTGATACATTGAAAAGTTAAAGCATTTATATAATTTAATTTAAGAAAATTATTTTAATTATAGGTATTCGCTCTTGACATATGTGTTGAATGACCATATCTGACATATAATGATGAAAATATTATCAAACAATGACGAATATTATTTTGATATCAAAAATTTGGTACGAACATTGCGTTAAAATAAATCGCATGCCAGTAGTTGGAAAAACACGCGATTTTAGTAGAAAAATTTAAATATCGCAATATTTGTAATTGACGTGTACCATGAAACGCGATAGTTTTAATCTGCTGTTCAAGCGACTTGAAACTCTTGAAAGAGGAGAACAGATAAAAAAAATCAAATATATGAGAACTTCTACAGTACGGGTGTCTGGAAGGTACGAAGCTAATCTTACTCAGCGAAAAATTAGAGGGATATATAATTATCAATTGAAAAACCAGAGTTTGCTCGTTTGCAGAGTTAACATGCAGCTCCTGTCAGCCTGTGCTCTTTTGAGCATCCTACTCCCATCAGGGCACGCCAATCCATTACCCCAAAAGGACGACAATGATGATCTCTACGAGAAAGCGATTTTGAAATTGCGAGCTCAAAGCTTGGGCTTGCCAGACAAGCGCGCTGGTAAAAATTATATAATATTTAATTATATTTTTGCTATTTACCACAGTGAAATTAGTTTTATAGCCAAATATTTACATACCAGGTGAAATTCTTTCAACATGGGACCCGGACTCGGGTGTGAACCCTGAGGAGCTTGGTCCTTATTTCCAGGGTGACATTCTCACTCTGCCGAGTGACAAAAATGGCATCATCGACACAAACTTCAGATGGGCAGATGGAGTGATCCCTTATTCTATCGTCGACGGAATTTTCAGTATAATTATTTTTCTTCTAAAAAATGAAAAAAATATATTAAAGAAATCAATGTTCGCAGATGAAACGGAACTGCAGCTTCTGAGTGATGCGTTTGAGGCGTACCATAATTACACATGCATCAAATTTGTGCCCTACGATGGCAATCAAACAGATTACATCGTTATCCAAGGGGAGGATACGGGGTGCTGGTCCTCTGTTGGAAGAAGAGGTGGCGTTCAGTACGTCAATCTGCAACCTCCGGGTTGCATCAGGAAGGTATTCACAATAAATTAATAAAAGTTTAGAGTTTTAAATTTTTTAATTAAAAAGCTTGGGACTCCTGAACACGAGTTGCTACACACCATCGGTTTCCATCATGAGCAATCTCGAACTGACAGGGACGACTATGTTTCAATTTTATGGGCGAACATCAAACCTTGTAATATTATAATAATGGATTTTTTAATTTTCATATTTTTTTTTTACTTTTGTGCAGTGACGGTGTACAACTTCTTCATAGTAAATAACACGTCCCCGTTTGGAGCAGCGTACGATTATGGCAGCGTCATGCACTATTCAGCGACGGCTTTTTCGAGTAATGCCCTACCAACAATTGAAACCATAGTAAGTGCAAGTAAATTAAGTAAGATCGAATTACAAAAAAGCTAACAAATAGTATTATGTAGATTCTATATGTACAGTATCAAAACATATTAAAAATATTAAATAATAACCTTTTATTTTTAATATTTTATTTTTATTTCAGCCACCTGGTATTCCTATTGGACAAAGGGATGGTTTGAGCCAGTCTGACATTGACAGAGTTAACGCCATGTACAATTGCTTTGCATAGAGAGGGAGGAACATTAAATAAAAAAAGCTATAAAACATGATTGATTTTTATAAAAATTTAGGTAAATAAAAACTGCATAAATTTAACAATTAAAAATTAATCAAATTCTTAGACAAATATTTCCTCCGTGCACAACTTGTTACAAATTTTTTGTTAAAATTTGTCCTATAGCGGAAAAATTAAATTTATTTATCTGGTTTGGAGAATGAAAAATTGGCGTAGGTCGTCGATCTGATTTGGCGCCGGTGGAGCTGCTGGCCGTGTCAATTTCAAGCAACACAATTTCCCATTTCCCCCTCTACCCACTCCCGCTTCGCTGAGTCACAGATGTTTGTTGTACACAAAAAAAAATGTAAATTACAAACTGCAGTCGTTTTTCGGCCACTGAGCAAAAATTATTCGCTGCATTTTTAATTAGGTTGTGTGCAATATGATGCCATACTAATCATAAACTGAATTTGCTCGTCTTAAATTTTAAATTAATTAATAGGCATCTATTTGTATTTGTAAAGTGTCTTGGACTTTACCTTGCGAGTACGCGTATGAAGGACAGAGAGAAAACAACAGATTTCTGTGTACATAAATCTTCAATGGCATTGCTGCTGACTACATACGTGTCATAAACAGACGTGGTTCGTATTAATTATTTAAAATCTTTTGTATGATATTTACTTGTTTTTCAATCGTTTTAATACAATAATAATTTTTCAAAATAAGTGTAAAATTTATTTTTAAATCCTGTTGCAGAATGTTTGAATGGGAATCCTGATTGACTGAGAAATCATCACTGCCGCAAGATGAGCAAGTTTACCAGGAGTGGTGTTATGATGGTGTATTCGAACGACGATGCCGAGGTTGGTGGCGAAGAATCGCTGTTCCAGGACACCACAACTATTTCACCGTCAACCTCGTCCTCAGAAGGAAATAAGATTAAACCCTCAGGATCAATTATTGCGCCTCAACAAGGATCAAAAATTGCTGAGGTTAAAGCTCAAAACAAGACTGTCTTGCCCACGGCTACCAAATCAAAATCGTCAAATAAGAAACTTCATGTCTGCGCTTCAGACCTGCCAGAAAATTATTTTGATGACCTTCTGGACATAATGAGCCTGCCACCTAAAAAGAAGCAAAAGATGGTTGTTGAATTAGGTGACGATGGTACTTATATTTAACTTGTTTGATTTAATTTTACTTAAAATATTATTTTTCTATTACAGAACCTCCTAGTGTCCAAATCAAATTGGAAAAGATAGAAAACAGTTCAATCTCTTCACTTGAAAATGGATGTGATCCTAATGTTACTTCAGCTCAAAATGTCTCTGTAAGCAAGAAGATCAAAATCACCCTGAAGAAGAAGCCCCAGTCTGATTTGATTCCAACTTGGAATGAAAATTCCACTGAAGACGAAAACAGTCAAACTGCAGGTTCCGACCATCAGCCAGACCAAGTTGAAGCTAACAAAATTAGCGGTGCCATAGATGCTGCAACTAAAGAGAACAAACTACCTGCTGCAAATACAACTAGACAATCTCCTGAGATGAGTGGAAAGGAAACAGCTACGCCCATATCTCAGTCGAACGAGATGGCGATCCTGGAGAAGGAAAAATTCTCTACCATTCCGTCACCACCGAAGAAAGTTGGCAGCGTTCAAAGGGAAATTAGTAAAGAAGAGGAAAATGTGAAATAAAACTGTAAAGTTTTTGATAAAAAAATAATTTGAATTTTTTCTTTGTAGAAGTTATCTTCAGTAGCTAACAAATCACCGAGTGAGACAAAAATTCCTAGTCCATGTGATAGCGGAAGTAAGAAAGCCACTTTTAAAGGACAGCCGTTGTATAAAAGTCCACCAAAGGGTCGGAATAAAAATGCTCTAAGTACAGTGCCTACATCAGTTGTGCCACTGATGGACATTCAATACACTGTGCCTCCATTAGTGCCTGACGTTCGACAAGACCATCCTCCTGGCAAGAGCCTATTGCCAACACCTTTTCCAACTTCACCTAGGCCAAGCTACCCTACTCAGAATTTCCATCAGCCCATGTATCCTGGCAACATGCATGGAAATTTTTACCATGGACAGGGATACCCTTATCAACCATATCCTTATTATGGTCCAGCAGGAAATATGGAAAACCCTTACTATCCTGGGGAATACCGCTACAACCAGCTGGCTCAGCAACCAACGGGAATGAATTATATTAATTTTAATTCTCTTAAGCAGATGCCAATTGACGAAATGAAGCAATTACCAGGAAAACCACAATCCTCTAACAACGCTGTTTCAGCAGGTGTAAATCCAGCAGCCCAACCAAACAATCTTGTTAAAGGTATGAACCAGAACATTCAATATTTATTTAAAGTATAATTGGCTTTTCAAAATATTTTAAGGTGGCAAAGTGCAGGAATCGAGCAATTTAGTCAATGTATTATTGAAACAACAGAAAAATAACCAAATGGGCAAGACTAACCAAACCCTGCAAGCTAAAGTAATGTTGAGAGGTGTTTTAAAACTTTTGTGTAATTATTATTTATCTTTAGGTGTCCCCAATAATAAAAAAGCCGGGAACACTGACTGACGGCAGCAAAGGGAAAAGTCCTCCAATCCACACCAGAAAGGATTTTGGTCTCGTGGTAATAAATTTTTATTTGTTTAAATTTTCCATTAGAGAAAACAATACATTTTTCAGGAAACAAATGCAGCACAGGTGAAAGCTAATAAGGTGCAAAGAACTGGAATAATCATAAATTCAAAGGTATTTTGCAAATGGATTAAACTAATTAAATTTAAAATGGATTATTTTTAGGCAAAAGACACATCTAAAATTAAAGAGAGCGCAAAGCCAATCAATAACTCCTCTGCTTGCAAATACTGTGGTACTCCAAAAGAAGACTTGAGATGTGCAACTGTGAAGAAAGTTTTGAGCACTGAAAAGCAGGTATAAAATACAAATTGCCAAATTTATCCCTCGCAAATTTAAATTTTTATGATTAGACGAGTACGGAAGCAATCAAGTCTCAATTAAAGGAAACCAGCTGCATGACGGATTCGCCTCCAGTTGTTCCAGTCAAATCATTCTCTACAATTGGAACACAGGTTTTATTTTTGTTTCTACTTTCAAAATTTAACATTAACTGTGTGCTTATTTTAGACCGAGAAACCCAAAAACAGAGACATGTTCACGATGACCATAGCTAAAAAAATTGGATCTACCACAGTTGAAACTCAGGTAATATTGAAACGATTAAAGATAAGGCTTTGTTAATATATAATATTTTCATTTGTCCGCAGACTGATTTTAAAATTGAGAAGGCTATTCTAAGTAACGTACCAAACAAACCAGTCAAACCACTGCCAACGAAAAGTGCACCACAGCCGATGAAAAATGTATCCCGGCCAGCAAAAATTGCACCCCAGGCAACCAAAAGTGCAATCAAGCCAACAAAAAGTTCTCCCCTGCCATCAAAAAGTGCCTCCCAGCCGTCGGAAAGTGTACCCAAAGCAACGAAAAATGCACCGCAGCCAACTCAAAGTACACCTCAGCCTACAAAGAAAAAAACCCAGAAAAATAAAGCTAATAAGGTATTTCCTCAAAATTATTTGAAATTTTTGTTAATTAGTGATACACTTTTTGTATTTTTTTCTCTTGTATTTATATGTGATTATATATGTACACAAATTTCCAATTCTTAAAGCGCCTGAAGAGGAGGAAGTGGAAAAAGATTGGCACCTTTTCTGCCTCGGGGTTAATAAATAAAACAGACCAAATTAATGGGCAATTTTCTCACCCTATACCAGTCAGAGTATCTGGGATAGCATTTAATTCACACCACCGTAATTGGAGAGCAAATTGATGCCGCACTTACTTGCCACTTACTATACTGCCCGCGAGGTTTTTAGTTTATTATTTGCATTTTTGTTGGTGATTTTTATAAGGGATTTGCCTTATTTTAACTAATTTTGAATAATTTTAAATTTAACTGTGGCGTTGTCTTAAATGTGTGTGATATTGAAAATTGCTTTGAAAATCCTCCCTACCCCCATTACATGCTGCTTATATGAAATATTTGTTTATTTTTAATTTATAATTATCTAGCTCTTATTCACAACTATTACATTGCAGGTTGAGGAGACTCGAGTTGACGATTCTGATTGTACAAACACCATAGAGACTTCGGTTGCCATAACTACCAAGGAGCCTGTTGGAGCTGAAACCAAAAGCTCCAAAGTTACCAAGCCCAAACCTCAGTCAAATTTGAAGCAGAGTTCAGCATTTAAGAAACAACCTAGTCTTTATTCGAGTATAGTTAAAAAAAATGTAAACCTCTTGCGTAGAGGCAAACCGGTATATTGTCCCAATGTTCGGGGAACCCGTTTTGCATTTCAAAGGCCAACACGATTTCAAGGTCCACCAGTGCAAAATGGTCCGCCTTGGAATCAAGATTATCAAGGACCTCGGAGACCCAAGGTGTTCCAAGAGCGTGATGATTGGCGAGGAGGGCCACCTCAATTCAACAACTCCGAAAGACCTCATCACTTTGATGGACCACCAGAGGTTGATGACGCAGATTGGAATGAAGGCCCTCCTGGCCCACCAATTCAGAGGGGACCATTTGGCCCTCAAAGGCCTTCAAATTTTCAAGGGCCACAAAGTAACGAGGAATTTCAAAATCCCGATGGTTGGGGAGGAGGTCCGCCTCAATTTGAAAACCCTGAAGGGTGGGAGGACGAAAGGCCTCATTACTGTGATGGTCCACCTGAGTTTGAGGAGGTCAAAAATTGGAACGCAGTGCCGATGAGGCCCCATCGAGACGATGCCCCTCCGGGTCAACTAATGCAGAGGGGACCCTTTGGCCCTCAAAAACTTCCTCATTTTCAAGGACCACCAATTCACGAGGAATTTCAAGAGCCCGAGGGTTGGGGAGGAGGGCCACCTCAATTTGAAAACCCAGAAGGGTGGGAGGAAGAAGGGCCTCATCACTTCGATGGTCCACCTGAGTTTGAGGGCAAGAATTGGAATGAATCACCAGTGAGGCCCCATCAGGATGGAGGTCCTCCAGGACCACCAATCCAGAGGGGGCCCTTTTGCCGACAAAGACCTCCACATTTTCAAGGCCCGCCAATTTTTGAGGAACACAGAGAACCGCCTCGGTTTGAAGACCGGATGGGACCTCCTGGTCCACCAAGGCCACCTTGGGATAATCGTCCACCTGGACCTCGAGGACCGCCCCCTTTGCGAGGTCATCCACTTTGTATTCGCGGTCAAGGACGAGGGCTTCGAGGACGAGGGCTTCAGGTACGAGGACGTGGGCTTCGAGGACGTGGGATCCGAGGGCGGCCTTAGCCTAATGGACCAATGTGGCTATAATGACCACAAAATAGAAAACTTGAACAGCGAGAAATGCGATGAATTATTTGGAAATTGATGTTCAATTGCACGTAATTTTTTTTTTTGTATTTACATTTCTATCAGGCTGATTTGGCAACTTTTGCATGAAGCAGTGGCGTGATAATATTTTGTGAAGTTTTTCATTTTAATTTTGTGGGGAATATGAAATGCGGACTAAATGTCAAGCAAAAAATTTGTGTTATTTCTGCGTATTGAAGCCAGTTCAATAATATAATTTTATGTGACATGCTCATTTTTTGTTGAGACAATAATTACATGAAATTACATATTGTTTAATTTGGTATCAATATTGGCTATAGTTTGATAATTCATACTGAATTAATTTCTAACAACGTTTCTTGAATTTTTTCTTAGTTTCAGCATTATGCAAAAATTTATTCTGCCCATATTGCACAATCAAGTAGCTTCTGTATCTGAAATGCAGCACATGGTTTATATTACTATCTTGCGATATGAGATTAATAATTACTGTATGCAATTTACAATTTCGGAAGACAAAAATGATGCATATTAAAATCTACCTTCTTTTGCCAGATTTTTTTATAGTACAGATCTTTTTATTCAATTAAAGATAATGCCATTGGAAAAATTTGAGGCAACTTGTAGGATTGTGATAAATATATTAATAAAAAACCACTTAGATTAAAAAAAAAAATGGCAAAACAATTTGTAAATCTAAACAATAGCGCTTTTTGGCTTCATTGAATACTCTGTTTTGATCTCATAATGGAGTTCAGGAATTTGATGATATACATAATTACATTCAACAGTTTTGCAATAAGAAAAAGAGGATTAAAAATGAAAGCAATATTATGTTTATTAAGAATTAATAGTGCAACGGCATGTAATTTTTATTTTAAAGATCATATTAAGATCTTTTTAATAAAATTCTGAATTGTCAATTTAATAAACATATCAATAAGTGGATTATAATAAAAAAAAAGAAATAATGAAAATACAAAATAGGCTTATTTTATTTAATCTGGATTATCCTTTTTCTGTTGTAAGTAAAAATTCTTGATTATTCATTTTATTTTACAAATTATAAATATATTATTGTACTATTGCCGATGGACCACGAGGCTATTTATATCAATAATTTACTATCTAAAAATTTTTTAAAATTTCACTTCATTAATTAACTTAGGCATTGTAAAAATATAAATAATTTTAGTCTGTCTTCATAAAATAAGTTTATTGTTGATATACTCCTCAAACGTTTATATTGAGCGTTTATGTTTCTAAAAAAATTTAGCGGCCAGTGCTACATCAGGAATGTGGAGAGATGCCCTCACTGCGGCGCCCAATATAAAATAAACAACATCCAGGGCACGCCGAGATGCTGCTCCAGTCGCCAGCTGCTGCGGCACACCTGCCTCCGAATCTGAAGGTGAGCTCTGTTTAAAGGGCCGACCCGCACCTGTCATGTCCGTAAGGTTCAAAATCGCGTGCTGCCGCTACTCCCACGTCCCCCTCCCGGCCCTCCAAGCCGGGCCCTTTAACTGGGTTTCTGGGCCTTTGCGACCCCACGAACTTCACCAATATTCATCATTATGATCAAACAAACCGAATGATCTTTTCCGGAGAGTTAAATTTGGCTGTAAAGAGTTTAATTCGGCATTAATCTGCGCCTCTGGTGGCGCCCCTAGGCGAATGCGGCGCGAAGCAGCGCCGCATCAATAATCCATCCGCGGCTCCAGCGCGAGAGCTCGGCTCCGTTTCAGTCAGTCACTAACGTGGGTACAAACAGTTCAAGTGCAGCTCCGCAGATCGCGTTCCGTGTAGTGTGTGAGTGCATCCCAGGTGGGTTTTCTCAGCCCTTCAGGGCCCCCAGCCCTGCGTCAACAACCCCTCAGTGCGTGGCGGGGCATTTCGAGCTCTCGAAGGTCCCGCGTGGAGCAGTCGTGGTCTTCGAAAGGGCTTATTTTGGCGCCGCTGTCACATGCTGCGAATGCAAAACGCCGCCCGCCCGCGATTTGGTTCGACTCGTTGGGTCCGGACTATAATCAAATCGGGACTCATTCGGTCAAAAGAGAGCCTCGACCGTTCATTACAAACGAATGATTAACCTCGAGGGAGGAAAATGAGCCAGCAAATGGAATTAATTTTGGTGTATTCAATTGATAATGTGGAAAAAGATGGGAAAGTAAGGGAAAAATTACTAAATCATTTGAATTTAGTAATAAATTTTTTGAATTAAATTGAAAATTATCAAAGAAAATTCAATTGAACATTAAAACATAATTTTTTTAAATGTAATTTTTCACGAATTTTTAACTTTAAATTTAACCTGCAGTTTTTTTTCAAGTTACAAAATTATAATTTGGGAATGCACTTTTAAAATTAAAAAGAATGTCATTATAAGTGTATAATAATTTAGTTACGATTTAAAATAATTATTTTTATTTTGAAAAAAAAAAAATCGCTAGAATAAAGTTTTATTCATTATTTCTCTTTCTCTATGAAGTGATGCAAACCTTAATTTGTACTGTACACCCTTAAAAAATTTCTTGCACTTTTTCTACACGACTTGCACGCGGAGGCCTCGAGGGCGAACAAAACCACCCCACCACGCATTGACAAGCCCGCCGCCCCGTCTACAAAATCCATCTCCTCGCTCCGGAGATTTCTCCAGCGCCGCTGTTTGGATTACAGTGATTGGAAAAAGGAGCAAAAGCGAAGATTTGTAGAGTGTTTGCAAAAAGTCTCTTTGGTGTTTCAGTGCGTTCAGTGCTGTGTCAGTGGATAGGCGGTCCACGCTCTACAATGTGGCGCTCCCCTTTACTGGCGGCTTCATTGCTGCTGCTCGTCGCGGCGCCGACAGGTCAGTCAAAAATTCAATTTTTTATTCTCATAAATCTTCAGCTTCATCCGCCGTCACGGGCGGAAATTGTTTAAAAAATTGGCGAATTTTCCAAGCCAGCAATGGCCGCGGTTTGTTTGGGGTGAGCGACGGACGAGTCGGGGGTGGTTTGGGGCGGACATGCGCCCTCCACTTGCCGCCGGGCCAGCTGCTCGCGCTCCTTGCTGGGGTTGCTTTTTACTTGCGTTTGTTTGATTTCGGGCCGGCCGAGAGACGATTTTTAAAAGGCCAGGAAGTGTATTTTAGTTGGACGGGAAAAGTACAAATAACATAAATGAATAGGACAACTTTTCTCTCCGTGGGGGGACGACGAAATAATAAATTTAATAGACACTAGACTATGCTGTTCCGCGTGGTGCGCACGAAAGAAAAAGCAGGGGTGGCTCTTTCTTAGTCACGTTCTTCACCTGCGTCCCTGAACTTGAACTTTGAAGACGCAATCCAGAAGCTAAGGAATATCGTAAATAATATGGTAGTCTTCTGATTTTCAAAACTTAATAATTGCTTACATAACTAAATTTAAAGCTTTTCAGCTATTTTTTAAAACTTCATCAATTCCTTTTATTTTTTAAAATAAATTACACCAAGAACGGTGGTTGTTTGGTACTAAAATAATCTAATTCCATGAAATATTCCTAAAATATTTACATTTTTTTCTATTATCTCTTATAGAAGTTTTCTATCAGAATTGTAATTATTGCATTTTATTTATAAATGACTCATTCAAATCAAAATAATTTAACAAAATAAATGCAAAAAAAATTAGTTAACATTGAAAAAATTTGGCTGATTATTAAAAAATAAATGAAAATCATAAAATATTTATTATAAAATACAATTTTTAAGGTACTTTTGCTGTAGTTTATTTAAAATATTATCATATTTTTATTAAAAGGTTAAGGACACTGTGTGAGATGTCATTGTCGGTGACTTTAATTAATATACACGACTTAAAATGCTTATTCTTGAAGGCGTATAAAAAACCAATTTGTATTATAAAAAACTGGTTTACGAACCGGATGCCTGAGCTTACCTCGGCGTCCCATCTTCCCTTTCTTTGTTCATAACTCTAGGAAAGCAAAAAAACAAGCAAAAGAACGCGCTAATTTGGACTTAGGAGTGCAACAAAAGAAAATACCCTTGCGAAAAATCCGATTTTTGTCGGAGTTGAAAAAAGAAGCCTGCACGTTTGTTTGTGTGTCCTCTTTATCAGCGGCAGACTCGGCGTCGCTGCTTCTTTTTTTTGTTCCCCCAAACTTCTGACAGGCAGGCAGGAGTCGACCTATAATAATATAAATTCGCTCTCCCCATGCGCGGCGCGTGTAATTGCATGATTCATCGTGACGTCACGCGCAAGGGCGAAATGCACGCCCGGCCGGTCATCAAGGATGCATTGAAAACCACCCCCTCGGCACAAAGTGCATTTATTTGCAGACGCGCGTGTGAGGGTGCGGCCTAGTTTTGATCACAGCGGATTTCGCAAATGGAAATTGGACCGGTTCGAGTGCCCTGTTGCGTCAAAAGCAGCACTCCTAACATGTAATCTTCTTTCAAACAAGCAGCCGGTTTTTTAAATGGCTTTAATCGGCTGAATAGCAGCGTCTAATTATTGCCTGCATAAAACCAGCAGACTGAGATGAATGAATATTAACAAGGAAAGTGATTAATTTGACGGGCATAAAAAGTGATTGAAAATTATACTTTTTAAAAGAAATCTGAATTTGAACATTAACTGCGCTTGTCTTTATGAAATGTTATGAAAATGATTTCAAAATTTAATTTTTAAACATTCATGCTTGGTTTAGCAAGCTTTCTATTAATTTTTTCATGCACTCACTCCATTTTATTCCTGAACTTCAGAGAGAGTACTTAATGCTGATGTGCATTGTCTAGAATTTTCAACCAATCTTTTGATCAATAAAGCAGCTGCTTTTTTTAAGTTTGCAGTAAAGCAGCTGACTTGAGCATACATTGAGCAATAATTGCAAGCTTTATTGGTAAACTTTATATATATAATTTCAATTTTTTCCTGTTGAACCAAATACTCAATTATTTGGATATTTAACGCGTAACCTACGTACTGATCTTTCAACAAATTTTAATTATGAAGTGCGAAAAGTGGGACTCCAGTTGCTTTTATTTATTTATTTTCCAAGCTCCTCTCCACTTAAAAAAGATATAATTACCCAGTCGCTATTTTTAGTCTTGTATTCCAACTTGGATCAGTCCGACTCTAGACTATACTCTGCGTTTCAAGTGCATACATTCGACTCCGAGTGTCTCACGCTGCGTTTCGTTTGGGCGATTCGGTCTAGCAAGCAGCCACGGCGTTTGCATCAAAGTTAGGGGAGAACTGAAAAGTATAAAAATTTATGAAAAATGATTATGGTTGGTGAGTGAGTGAGATTTAATTATGCTCCGTGGTGGAAATGGTTCCTGTCAATTTTAAGCGCCGAAATTTCTGTCTTTCTTTGCGAGGAAAACTATTTTCCTTTTATATACCATTAAGTCATATTAAATCTAGCATGGTGCCGGTTGACAATTTAAAATTACACAAAATATATTGCTTACTTTTGAAAATTTTGAATTTCGAACATTTTATCTAATGGTGTTGTCTACAATGATTTTCTCTTGAGACTTAAAAGTAGTTTCAAAATTAGGTTTGTTATTTTATTTATCTTTCAAAATTTCGATTATTTAATGTTGTTTTAATTTTAATCCAGACTGATTTAGTCTAAAAGTCTATACTTCCATTAAGTTAGAACACAAATTATATGTAATTTATAAATTTTAAAATACAAATAACATGAAATAAAATAGCAAAAAATATTTAAATTAGCTCAATACTTTTATTAAAGATGCAATATTAAAAATGTAATTTAAAGTTTAAATGTTATTTCGTTTGCAATTGTAAAACATTTTTTCGATCGGCGTTATCAACCATACTGTTATTTAATTTACACCAAGAGTCTTAAAAGAAATAAATGACGTCAGGCAGCAATTAATTAACTGGCTAATGGACGGCTTATAGAAGTGTATACCTCACGGCAGCCAATATATCAATCATACATCAATATAAGTGACTTATGTAATCAAAACAAACAGAAGCAAGAGGGATCGTCCGCAAGAGTAAAAAGTGACACCTGAGCTGCTGGCGTAAATTATTGGTCCTAATTGCGCTCTTCCGTTCGTTCCATTCCTTTTGGGCTCTTGATGGAGATGAGAAAAATATAACCAAGAGCCCCAGTATAACAACGGATATGTCGCTGGTGTTGAGAAAGAGTGAGAAATAGTCAATAAAAAATAATGGTCGAAGTAATGGGGAATATCCTCATTGCGGATACTTTCTCATCTTTTTATGATATAAATTTCCTTTTAGTAGAAGTTCCAAATCGATCAGATTATTTACATTTGGGAAATTGAATACCACTGGAAAATTCAAACACGCCCTTCCAGTTTGGAAATCGAAAAGGGGTGCATCGTTCCAGAACAGGGGTGCTCAGTCTGACTGATCGATCACCCTCGCGCTCTCATTTAATTTCTCAGTGATTCGGCGACGCCGCCGGTCTGATGGGTTTCCGTTTCCTGCGCCGCTAAATTCGATTTCAAACGACGGTGGCAGGAAGGGTTAATTTCTCTTTATTTTTATAACACGGCTCTGCTATGGGATGAAAAAAACCAGCGTTTTTCTCTGCTGGTAAATTTTTTACTCACAAAGACGTGCTAAATTTTTCCTGTGTTTTTCAGTAGATTGAGATTTCCTGTTTTAACACAACTCCAAAAATTAAATTCCAATAATTCAAACATTTGATTTGGCCTTAAATTAACTTATAATGTTGTAACTTAAAGTTTTCATGAAATGAAAAATGAAATTTAATTTCTATATTTCCTCTCAATCACTCTCAATTCTCAAGAAACTTTATGATTATTACAATTTTTATATAGTGACTGTCAATGAGATGTACTTTCACTTCTTGGCGTTTGATTAATTTAACATTCAGCACGAAAATAAAAATTAATTAGTTATTAATCACGTTGATAAAATTATGAAATTCTATAGAGAGCAAAATATTCTGATGAAATGACTTCAATTATTAAAAATTATCACATCAATCTATCATCAAAAGCAGTCGGTGAATCAAGCAATTGTGCATTGAATCTGCGAAACAAATTAGCGACGACACAAATGCAAATTTGTACGTTGGTGGCGGAATTACACGCGTCTAGTGTCGTGTCACGGAGCCACTGCCGCTGATGGAACGACGGGTCTCTCTGGGTATGCATGGGTCATTGTTCGGTCGGGCTGAATTACATGCACGATGCAGCACTGAGATAGATACACACAAAACGCTGGCAGCACCACGAGTCAGTCCTCTTCCTTAGGGCTTCAAATAGTAATTGTATGCCCTCGCGCGGCGTCATGTGACGCTCTGGGTAAAGCGCAGAAAATAAATTGCACGATGCGCACTTCAATTTGCACCGAGCTAGAGAGATAAAATTAGGACACAGTGCACAGGATAGTAATGAAAAATACAAGTATAGGGTAATGGTGACTTATAAAAATAAAATATTAATGTAATATTAATTAATAATTCACTAAATTTAATATTAAATTTAGTAAATTATTTTATAAAGCTTTTTGTAATATTTACACAATAATATTTATTAAATTTTTATACTCAATTTAAAATTAAAATTAATATTTTACAAATAAGTTGCAGTGATTAGTAATTATCAAAATTGTTTTTTTGCACATTTTCAAAAAAGTTTTGGATTTTATTTATAATCAAATATACTATATTTTTGCTTATCCTTCATTTTTTTTTTTATTAATACAATATACTTAAACGTCAACTATGTAGCTAGAATCATTTTTGTTTGTATACTTATTGGCTCTCTTATTTATATATGGCTACTTTATCACGAACAGCTCTTACTTGAAATAGTTGTAACCACTAAAA